TAATAATTTTTATGGTGACTAGTGATTACAAAATAATTTGCTATTTTTTCATTTTGTTTTCTAATTTTCTCAGCTATAGAATTTATTTCTAAAATATATTTATAGCCAATTATTTTTTCTATTTACATACATATATATGTATAACAAAAAAAAATTTAATAATTTGCCTGGTCATAAAAGTTGAGAAAATTCTTTTTTAATTGAAGATCAGAATAATAAAAAAATATAAGAAAAAAACTCTAAAACACGTTACATACCTAGCTAAAATTTAAACTTGAAAAGCAACTTTTATTCATTGAAGCGGTTTGAAAAGGTTCTTGTCCTCTATAAACTTCTTTTTTTTTTCATTTTGTTTTATTTAATGTATTTTCTAACCTTTCTTTACCATTATTACATCAATACACACGTACACAACATGTATCTAAAGCGTAAATACTTTATTAATATTATATATCGCATACATACATATATTTTAATACAACAATAAAAATAATTGTTATTACTTTATTTTTCTATTTTTTATTTCTTCCAACATTTTAATATGATTATCACATTGTTCGTTTTCCACGCTCTTTCCTCACTCCCTTCCCCCCTTTTTTCTGCTCCTACATATCTTTTCAAGTGACTATTATACAAACAAATACAACTCGACAATATATTATAACTCGTTTTATATTAATTTACCAGTTTTTGATTAACTTTGAAGTTGTTTTTTATTTTCGCTTATGTTGATGATCATTATATTTTTTCCCATTATCATCGAGCGTCATCCGATACTTATACTCGCCCAATTCTCCCCATACCCCTCATCAAATTCAGGGTTTTACAAAGAGTAAATGTTTCATGTTTATAAAGAACTGATTATTTCAGTTGTATTTTATAAACTTGTAAGTTTTAGGTATAAATTTAGTGTATAGTATAGCGACTAGTGACTATAGTGAGGCAAATAAATATACAAAAGAGCGAATAACATAATACATAATAAGTTTTCCTATTAAAATGTTTGTATGTGTATTCTTACACATGCAAATAAATCGTGTGCTTACAAAAATATTAAAAAAAAAAATATTTTTGATGGTCGCGGTCAGTTCACCGGCCGGTTTTCTAGTTTTCTTTTTATTGTTTTTTCCAACTTTTACGAACTAATGAATATAAATGGAACAAAAAGAAAAGAAAAAATGTTTAATAAAAAGAATTAAACGTGGAATGGAACGCGTTAGCCAAAAAAAAAACAAAATTAAAATTTTGATACACAACTTTTGAAGAAATTTTGTTGTACGTTCATTTATCATAATGTTAAAACAATTTTATTAAAGCCATCCCTTTCGTTACAATATATTTCACTATTAATAAATAATACTGTTTAAAGAAAATTCGTAATTTCTTTCAAATAAGGTAGGTTTAACAAAACATTAAAATAAAGAATTAATTTTTGACAAAAATGAAAAGTCTTAGTTCTATTCCGTCTCTTCTGTTAATGTTACTCATTTCTTGTATTCTTATACATATTTCTTCCACCAAAACATAAATACACACACATGCATAATATGTATTTAATATTTTTGCAAGATGTAATAAAAATGTTACACCATATTTCAAATAATTCAATGGAAGAAAAAACCTGATGTGAACAGCATAATATGACTGTATTAATATGAATAAGTATGTACGTATGTATAAAATTTATTAATTATAATACAAAATGGTCTCTATTGAAAATAAAATTTTCGGAATCCAAATTTTCGAAGATAATTTCATCATCTCTCAACAGACTGAATTCAGATACAGCATTTGTTTAAATTGCAGAGAAGTTTCATTTGTCAATTTTAGTCTGACTTGCATACTTTGAACATTTTCATTTTTTATGTTCACAGGTTTAAACTGATCAAACTCGAAATTGCCAGTGCATGCCTCTTAACAGATGAAAAATTTTATGTCGGACTCGGAAATGAACACAATAGAACTGTATGAGCTCTGTGAAATTTGAATATTTTTTTTTGACCACGTCAAATGCAATTTGATTGTTCTCTGATCGTAAAAACGAACACGAATATTTAGCTTTGAAGGATTTTAAGTAAAAAGACGGACACAAATTTATTTTAAGACAGATTTATTTTTAGAGAAGTATGTACATCTAGTATGCTCTGTTATTTCTCGAAATTCTTGACATACTAAGAATGCATACATATATAAGGGTATATATGTATATAAATATGTACTTTTAAAATGCACATTTTAAAAACTTTGGGAAATTTTAATTTTTGTCTTTTATTCTCAAGGTTGAAGAAAAAGGGCAGCTTACTAGAGTTCGTTTCCAAAACCTAGATTAGTAAGCCTAACTAACTGACTTATCAAAGCTCGTCGAGAAATTTAAAAATTTACACAAGTTTCTTTATATAATATAAGAAGTGGTGCATTTTCGAACCGTAAATGTATGAATTATTAAAAGGACTACAATAATTATAACGTTTTAATGATGTTATAATTATTAAATAATTAAATTATAAGGTGGGTGAGCATATCTCTCAATTCGCACAATTAATATTGCCTAACATATGGCGGTTCAAAAAAAATGTGAAAAAAGCTCGAAACTACGATTAGTCAAATTTATAATTAGAATTTAAAGTTGGAATTAGAATTTTTGATATATGTTGCTCAGGAAACTGTAAAATTTGTTTTGATATAAAAATTATTATGATCTAGCCAATTTTTTTAATAGCTCGAAATGAATATTCAAAAATCATTTATTCTAACAAAAGAAAAAAAAATTTTCAGCAATTTTATTTTCGCTAAAAATGCATTCGCAATTTTAATACAAGGTCTAAGTCTTGATATTTTTGTTATGTCAAGGTTTTAATCAGAAATTTGTATCTTTTACATTTACATACGTACAGTGCATGTTTCCACTTAAAAATATAATTTTGTAGTATTTATCTACTAACCGCTGGGTAAACTGATTATTAAATAGTTTTCTTTTAGAACAATTTCTTATCAACAACACTTTCACTTTTATTACCGAGGAGAGATATTTGTAAATTGTAATTTGATTTAAATTATTATAATTTTAATAATTTGTAATTTGATTTAAATTTAAAGTAAAGCGCCAAATATTCGCCAATCAATAATTACAAAGTTTTTAATGTAAATTTCTGTATCGGATACATGACTCAGATTCAAATTACATAAAATTTGTATTGTACATGTACAATACGTTTAATGACAAATTATCCTTTAAAACTCAAGCAACGTATATGTACAATAATAACATCCATAATAACAATTAACATAAGCGTATATTACATTAGAAACGTATATTAAGATAAATTGAACATAAATCTAACTTGAGATAACTTAAGATAACTTAAACTTAAATTTAACTAAAACTATTTACTAGATACATAGATATAATAGGAAACTATTAAGACTCGATATATATAATAATACTGAGAATTGATTTAAAACGAGCATTTTTCATTAAAATAATTAAGTTCATGATTGACTTCATCCAAATCATTATCTTTTGATGCACTAACAAGACTAAAAATACAATTGCGTTTGAAAGAGAAGCAAATTTTAGGGGCATAAACAAAATATTGTACATGAATGAAGAACAATATACTTTTATATATTATTCATTTTAGATGGAGTATAAATTTAATAAATATAATATAATAAATGATCGGCACAAATATGTAATTTATTATTACTTAATATATAAATGGAGTTTTTGCAAAAATATGCTAGAAAAAGAAAGAAAGAAAATACATATTAACAACATCGAGCACCATACACTCCAATCATATACACAAAATTTTTTCTGCACAAAATCTAATTGTATGACCATAAAAACTAATTAAGTTATAACATTTAATTACAAATAATCAAGCAAATTAAAATTAGAGAAATTAAAGTAACATAAAATTTGTATATATTATGCATACAGTCACACAAGATTTTATATATATATATATATTTTATCCTGTAATAAAAACTAGTATTGCATATTATTATTGTATATATATATATATTAATGTTAAAATATTTGAATACAATATAATTAATTACGAAATTTTTCATATACATTAATAAAATTAAGAAAAGAAAGATATTTTATTAAAGACATAGTGGAAATAAGTATATAAGTAAGCAATAAATAAACGCTCAGAATAAGTAAAAAACTTTTATATTACATTAACATAAGGCTTTATGCATACATACATAAATTAGATATCAATTACACACGTATAAGTATATAATAAGAAAAATAAATACATTATTTATAATGAAAATATTTATTAAATGTAAAATTATATAAATTATATTTTATAATATTATCATTGTGCAAATAGTATATTTATTCGATTAAATTTAATTAAAAAGCTAATATATATACTAAAGCATTATTGATTTATTTAATTAATTTTTGGTAAATAAGTAACGGTATTTAAAAAATATATCATGATTATACATGTATTAAATATAAATGTAAAATTAAAGAAATTTTATACTAATTATATACATTTAATTTATATTTTCTAAACAATACAATAATGAAATTAATTTAGATAATTCAGCTAGTGTGTATATATAACATAGAATTAGGTAATAATAATGGTTTATATAATAATGTTATATTTATAAAGCACATATGTAGCACATTATATACAATAAAAATTAACCAACATACATACACGTATGAAGAAATAATAATTTAAAGATCATATTAATTCTTAGTTTTATTAAAATACATAATTACATACATATATACAATATAAATAATGAAACAAATGCACAAATAAGTAAATAAAATAATAATTAATATTAAAAATAATAATTGTACATATATATAAAAAAAATTTCCCATATATGTATGTAATAAGGATAATAATTATACAAACGCAGAAAATTAAAAATTCAAAATAAAAAAAAAAACAAGTAAAAAACCAAAAAAAAAATAAAAACAAAATAAAAATAACAGAAAATAAAAAAAAAAATTGTACCTTGTGACTGTTAGAAGAAGAATAAGAATGCGGAGATGCAGAACAATCAGAAGATGAAGAACTGATTATACTATTATTAGTAATATTATTTAAATTAGTGTTATTATTACTGTTACTGTTGTTGTTAGTTATTGTAGTATTAATATTAGTTGTAGAATCAGGATAATAAGTTATATTTTTACTATTATTCTTATTTAGTGTTGTATTTATATAATTAATTTTTTTTAATGAATTATTTCTTATTAATGTTGTTGATATTTTATTTTTATTATATATTGGTGCTGATATTGTTGCTGCCGATGCTGTACAATTTTTCATTTCAATGTCATCATTATCAATATTATAACTTTTAAAATTAATATTATTATTATTGTTGATAATAGCATTACTATTATGATAATTATTATTTGTTGTTGTTAATAAATTATTATGATAACCATTTGTTGTATTTGTTGTTGCAAATGTACCAGCTGGTAATAATGTTATTGTTGTTGGACTTGTTGGTATTGTAAGAAAATGATTTGTCAATTTTTGATTATTATTAGTATTATTATTGTTACTAATACTATTATTATTATTATTGTTATTATTATTACTACTATTATTATTACTATTACTATTAGTATTATTGTAATTTGTTAATGTAATATGTCGTTTTGTCGGTGTTAATGTTGTATTTGTTGTGACAATAGTTGGTAAATTCATTTGCAATTGTTGCGCAAATGCAGTTGCAACTGCTAATTGATGTTGCTGTTGTTGCTGTTGTACAGGTGTATTTATATGTGCTGCTGAAATTGGTGTTATTGTTGTAGGTATTAAATGACGATGTTGCATTTGTTGTTGTTGTTGCTGCTGTTGCTGCTGTTGCTGTTGTTGCTGCTGCTCTAATATTGATGGATGTTGCAATTGAATTTGATGATAATGATGCTGCTGATGTTGTGGTATATACATTTGATGTGGCAATTGAAGTTGACTATGATGAAACTGTACAGGTTGCTGTTAATATTTTATACATATATGCATAGGTATACATATATATATATATATATATATATATATATATATATATAAATACATATGGAATAATAATATTTTAACCAAAAACTTTAAAAAATTATATCGCTTTTGTTTATTATTATTTTTCTATGTAAAGAAAATAAAACCAAAATAATAATTCCAAAAATAACGCAAGTTTCTATATTAAATAATTAAGAATTTATTTTTCAATTTGAAAATATACAAAAAAAAAAAAATTAAATTCCTTCTAAAAGTTTGATTTAATTTTCGAGATTATAAGGATAACTAAAGATTATAATATTTTGTTGTTTCTTTTTTGTAGTTTATTAGAATTTTCAAAGCGATTAAATTATTAGCAACAAATTGATTCAGCGAAAATGCACACATCACATTAAGATTCAAAAATTAATTTCAGACTTTTTCATTAATTTATAATATATTTATGCTATGAATAAGTAAATTGTAATGAGAATTTTCTATAAATTTGATTGTTGAATAAGAAAGATTTTGAAAAATTTTGTACAAAATGAATACACAGTAGTTGTATAGTTGTTAGAATTATAAAAAAGGAAAAAGATCGGAAAGATACAAAATTTGCAGTGCCTTTATGCCAAAAATTTGATATATATACTTTGTTATTATATCATAGATAACTAATTTTGTTGTTACGCGATTTTACTAGAAAAAAATTTTGAAAAAATAAATTACTCAATTTTAACAATTTCTATAGAGTAACAAATAATTTGGTAACATGAAATTTTAAAATAATGTACATTCTTTAATTACAGCTGACAATTCATAGAGATCAAACAGTGTTGGTGTTGGTTTATAATAATGTCTACATAAATTTTGAAGCAGATGCCTTTAAATTCACACGATTTGTTTTATACAAAAATTAACGTGCATAATTTGCTTTGATAGAGATTTTTAGTTGAAATCAAATTTTATTTTCTAATAGAAAATGCATGTCTGCAGTGCTATAGGAAAGTTTTTGTTGAAAATTAAAAATCTTATAGATAATGAAATAAAACTTCATAATTAATTTAATTTTTTTTTGAAAATTTCAGTATTAAGGGATACATTGAATACAAAATACTTAACAGGATAATATTACTGAGTTCTTACCCGTTAAATATCTTTATAAAATAATTAAAAATTTTAGAAAATTTTCAAATTGTACAGCTTGCAAACTACATAGTTTGTTAATTTATATTCAAATTAAGGATCGCCTTGAACTACCAAATTAATTTTTACGAATTGCAACGCTCAATTAATCTAATACAATGGCGGTTTAAGAAACTAATTCAATTGTAGCTTAAATAATTTTAGTTATCGTGGAAAAATATTTTTTCTTTAGATAGTTAACATTAGATTAAACTCGGCTTATAATAACAAAGAAATATATAAAATTTTATAATTTTTTTTTAAACCATATTTTGTACACAAAATTTTCTTGCACAGGCCGAATTCAAATTTAGAAACAAACTTTTTTTAATATAATTTTATTTTAATTAACTAAGAAATGGTATCAAGTGTACGACTACATACCATATAGGCACTAGCAAACTTTAGAATAAAAATAAGAGTATACATAGTTAGTTTAAGAATTTTAATTACATAGAAAATAGAAATTAGTTTTTACTTTATTTAAAAGAATAGAAGAATAGAGATTTTTACATATTTCCAAAATGGTTAATTCTTATATAGTTTTTGTTTGAATAATTTAAAAAAAAAAAAAATTGTATAAAAACATTTAATTTTCTGTTATTATTAATGTAGGTGTAATAGTTGCTAAAAATAATTTAATTTATTTTTATTTTATAATTCAACGGATATATAGATAATATAATATATTTAATATATTAATAATATATAGTAAAAATTTAATAAATTTAAAAAGTAGTGAGATTTAATATTTTAATATAAGATAATATATAATTATTAAATAAAATGATTATTACAAGAATGATGGCTATTTATAGAGTAATATTAAAAAAAATAAGAAAAATAAATAAATATTTTTTAGGATAAAAAATTAATTGTATAAGTATAGGTATATAAATGATCTTTGACAAAAAAAAAAATTATCACATTCACACAATAATCAATATCAATGGAACGAATTTAAAGAATTTAAAAACACTTTTTGTTTTTAGTATTTAAAAAAAGAATTGGAATAAATCACTGCGGAGTAATGAATAAAAAACCAAAATTTTTAAATTATATTACAAAATTGCCGGAATTGAATTCTAAATTTGCTGCTACGCTTTTGATTTTATAGATGTTGATTTATACATTTTATATTCAGACATTGAGTAATAACACTTACTATAATATTCATCTATTACTCACAATTTAAGTCAATGAAAAATCATTCAAATTTTGATTAAAGTTCCTTTTAGTTAAAAGGAACGAGTTCATGTAATTTTGAATTGGCTAGTAATGCTTTTATTAAACGGCAAATAGAAGCTCTGTTGCATTTATTATTGACAGCAAGAAAAATTCTACCGATATTGAAATCTATTAAAAATTGGAATACATATTTTAAAACTGAAAGTTCTTTAAACTGAAAATTATAGAATTTTTAGGAGAACTGAAAATTTTAGGAACTCTATTATCCATTATAGAATTTAGTTGCAAATCAATTAAAATTCCCAAAGAACTAAAATTTGTAACTACATTTGCCGAAATTTAACCATTTTGAGACATTCAATAAAGAATGGAAATGATACTTTATTGGTAATGTGAAAAATTAAGGTGCAATTTAAGCGCTAGTTATAACTATATACAGAACGAAATAATTATATTGCAAGTTATTTTAATATTTTTAAAAGTAAAAAAAAAAAATTATACTTTGTCATGAATTCAAGAGGAATTTCATTGCCACAAATCGAATTCGTATAAATATTTTTGTATTTATATAACACATTTGCGATGCATATTTAGGAGAAACACTGTTTTAATTTTTATACATTACTATAATACTCTTGTTAAAATTTTGATGAATCATAATTAACTCATTAAAATAAAGTTACTACGGAACACGAAATTATTATTTAACAAGTAACTATTTTTTTTTTTTTTTTTGTTTTTGTTTGGAAATATTTTTTCTCACCATTATTTCTTTAATATTTGTTGTATTAGCTGATGCAGGTGATGTCTGCTGATTTGTTGTTTGTTGATGTGGAATTGCTGTAGCCGCCGCCGTTGTTGCAAAATTACAATTAACAATTGGATTAAAAATATGTGGATTTATACAATTTTGTATATTTGAAATACCACTATTTTGTAATGTACAATTTAATATTGTTGATGGCTGTAATAATTGATATTGCTGTGGACTAATATTATAATGTTGATTATGATTATTATTATGATTATTATTTATTTGCTGATGTGATTGTAAATGTGTTGCAAATGATGGTATTGTATCACTTATTTGTATATTATTACAATTATTATTAATATTATTTTGGCTACTATTATTGTTATTATGATTATTATTATTATTATTAGATGTTGAACCGCACAAATTTATTTCTGTATAACGACTTAAAATTAATGTTGGTTGTATTGAATTAATAAATTGTGCACTTGCTGCTGCTGCTGCTGTTGCTGCTGCTGCTAATTGTGCTGAACAATGTCCGCAAAAACAATATTGTATAGTTTGTGTTTGATTTTGTTGTTGTTGCAATTGTTCTTGTAAGTTTTGTGTTTGTTGTTGTTGTTGTTGTATATATTGAGATTCTAATAAATTTGTATATTGTTGTCCGTCAATTAGTCCAGTTGTCGCAGTTAAAGGATAATGATAATGATTATTATTATTATTTAATAAAGTAGGTCCGCCAATATCGTTTGTATTATTTGTTGGCGTTAATAATTGTTGTGTTGCTGTTGATACAGCATATAATTGTTGTTGCTGTTGTTGAGGTAATGCAGCCGCTGCCAAAAAGGGGGGACAAATAGCGAGGCCCGGTGGGAAATACGTTTTTGTGAAAATTTAATTAAATAAATTTCAATGTATGGTTTTTGATTTTTTTTCTTTACTTTTTTTTTGTGTTGTTGATTTGACTTTTGGATTCGGGAATTCGACTATATTGAGATAATAAATGATTTGATCTCAAAATGAAAAGAAATATATTAAAGCAAAAAATCGGTCCTTTTTATAATAAATTTTTTTCTTTTATTGATCTTCTCTTTTTACAAATGGGAATCTTATATTTTGAATATTTATTTAAAAATTAATATTTTATTTAAGTTTATTTTTAAATTTTGAGTATTTTAGACACCTTCAACTAAAAACAGAGATTCACATTTATTCTGATAATAAAAATAATAATAATGAATTTATTATTTCCTTATTTGATTTTATATTTTTTGTATATTTGCAAGTTTGAGTATTTTAATAGACAGCTAAATATTGTGACACCTTACAACTCTATAAACATTTATATATATTTATATATACCAATTGAATTATGGTTTTTATAATAATGTAGTAAGTAATAATTAAGAATCCTAAAAATTATAAATATATTTTTGTTTTCAAAGTTTTTACTGCGCTAAATATTAAATTTAGTAATTTATTTAAACAATATATTGAGTTCTTTTAAAATTTATTCTATATATATATATATAATTAATTATTGAATATATTTTTATACAACAAAAGTTTTTGACATTTATTATATTTTAATTTAGATAAATTTAGAGTTATTTTTTGTTTGTTTGTTTTTTCAAATTTGTGCAATTTATAAGAAAATTATAATATTTTTTGCTTGCTTTCAATTATACACGCTTATTTTAATATTTAATATTAACTGAAGAAAATCTTTTTAAAATTTTTATATATATTTATTATTATGATTATTAATTTTAATAATAATTAAGTCTACATTAAAATTTTTATTTTTTTTATATGTGATAATGTCGCAGAAGTCTCTGCACTTAAGGAATTATAGTTAAGTATATATATATATATATATATGTAAATTTTCTAATTAGAAGATTGTCATGAAATTGATTTTTTTTTTATTAATTTAAATTGTATTACTTGTTTTTTTTTTGTAAGAATTGTGTATAGATAAATTATTATTTAAGTGTATAAGATACGATATTGAATATGTATAAATTGAGTAAAGCCGAAATATAATTTAAATTTATTTTATATATATATATATATATATTTTTTTTTGCTTGAAAATTGGTATTGTAAATGTATATATATTATATATACAAATTATTAGAGTAGATATATATATATGTATATAGATTGTGAAGAAAAAAGTTCTTCAAAAGATTTTTAAAAATGTAAAGGTTTTATTTTAATTAGGAAAAAAAATTTTATACTTAAATATTAAATTTATGCAGAAAAATTTAAAAGTGTTTTTTAAATTTAATGTTTGTGATTTTGTAGAAGGATTGTCAAGAAATTGATTGATTTGATTTTTCTTTTTTTCAAATTTTAATAAGTCTAAAATTTTTGATTGTCAAAACGCAAATTTCTTTTTCTTGATAATTATTCTATCATTTATATTTATAATTAATTGTTTTATTACGATCTAAATTAAATTAAAATTTTTTGTTATTTTTACAATTTTTCTTTTAATATTAATTAATTTTAATTTTAAATTTGAGTATATTGTTAAGTATGATTAATTTTTTTTTTTGTAATATACAAAATAATGTATATTAAATAGGTGTTTTTTTTTCAATTTAAATGTCTTTTTTAAAATAAATAATTTATTTAAAATATTTTGGATCTAAATGAAAATTCAACGCAAAATTTTTACACGATTATTCTAAATTCTATTTAAATATTTTTTGTATGTTTTTGTTTTTATTAAATTTCCCTAATTGTTTTAATATAATTATATTATATATTTTTTTTCCTGTCAAATTTGTATATATAATTTTATTTTATTTTTATATAATTTTATATTGACTTTTTATGTATTATTTATTGAATTTAATTTTAATTATTGATTGCTTGTTGAACTATAAAATTTTATTCTATTTAATAATTTTCTTTTAATATAAAATTTACAGATTATTTTTATATTTACAGAAAAAATATTTTGAAGAATATAGCTAAATTTTTTTTTAAATCGAAATTTGACTACAATTTTGAAATAATTATGCAAAAATTCTTAATTTTTGCAAATATTATTTGATATTATTAGAATGAAAACAAAATTATTTGAAAGATTGTATTTTGTTTAAAGATTGTATTGAAATTGAATTAAATCAGTCATTTAACAATAAATTGTTATTTATATATTTGAAATGTGATTTCTTCTTAAACCTTCTCTCTTTCTATATATTGTTTATTTTTTTCCTAAATATTTTTTTAATATCAATAAAAAAATTTGCATCTAAAAAATAATTTGACTTCTTTTTCTTTAAATATTTTAATATTTTTTTTATTTATATTATATACTTCTTTTTTTTTATATATTTTATGTTATTATGTATTTGAATTAAGAATTTTTTTATTATTTAATTAATTAATTTTTTTTTTGTTTTAAATATTGCACCGAATTTCTTAATTGTTTCTCTTACTTTTTATGTGTAATATATTTATATATATATAATAATTATGTTTAAATTTATTAGTCTGTAACAAATATGATATGTAGGGATTAATTAATAATATATATATATATATATATATATATATATATATTAAATAAATATTCACAGTTCTCTTTTATTAGTTTTATTATTTTAATCAGATATTTAATGAGTTTTATTTTATATATGATTAATTATTTTAAAAATAGTTTCAATCACCGTAAAAATTTTGAAAATAAAATATGAAAATAAATCAGAAATTAATTATATACAATTTATACGAATTATATATATAATATTGTTTTTATTGTTATTCGCAACTTCCGGCTCAAAATTCAGTTAATTGAAAACTAAATATTTGTTTTAATAATAAATATACAATTTTGAATATTAAAATATGCAAAGAATATTTATAATTATATAAATTTTAAAAAATTCTTTGGTTGTATAATCATATACGATTTTTTGTTATAATTTCTCTTGTACTTTATATTAAGTAACTGAGACAAATTAATAAAGTTTTTAAAATTAAAAAAATTGCAATATCTCCCCGCTGATATATTTTATTGTAAAATTAATTAAAATTATTTTATATAATTTAAATTTATATAGGTATTCTTTTATGTTTCAAAATTTTAAAATGCTGAGAAAAAAAATTATATATTGCACTCTTTGTTTCTAAATATTTAATATGGGTTTTATTTTGTCTTTATTTTGTTTTTAATATATATAAATATATTTTGTATTTAATTGGTTCTTAATTTGCTCTGTATGAGTTAAAATAATTTTTTTCTAATCACAACGCCCGTGTACTTTTATTTATATTTTTTACTTTTCATATACTTTTAGTATATATACATATAAACATACATATATATTTATAAAAGTATATTAATTTTGATTTTTTTAAAACTAATTTCAAAAAAATTATATTTATATAAATGCTTTTTATAAAGTGCTCAACAAGTGATCAATCCTGTGATATTTTCTATTTAATTTTTTCTTTTATTTTATATAAACATAATTAATTTTTGAATTATGTTTAAAAGGTAATAACCTTTTTCTTAAAATATTTAAAAATGTTTTTAGTTTTTGCTACCTTTTTTCTTAGAAAAATATCCGGTATTTTTAATAAATTTTTTACTCTTTCAATTTATATGAAAATTATTAAAATAATACTGACTTTAATGATTTATAATCAATTATTCTGATTTTTTGTGATTTTGAAAGAACAAAATCATTTAGAGTTCGATAGAAATTTTTCCGTACAGAATTTTATAGTTGATTAATAATATTATTATCAGAATTCTTGTTCCTTCATAAATTTTAATTATTTTTTCATAAAAAGGAAATATATATATATATTTGGAAATTGTTTTAATTGAAATTTTTTGAATTATAAAAATGAAGTATTTTCTTTTATTAGTTTCTGGCTTAAGCTCAAAAAATTGCTCGAAATTATTTAAGAGAAATGATCTGAAATTTTTTTGTTTTGTTGTTTTTAGGGAGAAATCGAAGATCTTTTATATGCACAAAGATGCTTAATTTATATTATAATTTTAATTTAATTATTTCGATTTATTTTTTGTTTAATAATTTTAGAAGTTTTGAATGTAATAAACGTACATATACTTTAACAACAACAGCAATAACAAATTTATTTTTGTTTCTTTTTTGATTCTAAATATATAATTAAATTTTTTTTTTACATATAATTCCCTCTTTTTCTTTTTGTTTTATTAAAAATATCAATAAATTTTACTTTTTTCTTTCTTTGTTACTAAATTCCACTATAATATTTTTGAATATATTGATAAATATAAATTTTATATTATTTTAATAATATAAGATTTAATATAAAACAAATATTTAATTTTTAAAAAAAAAAATTTTTTTTTTCTGTGTATAAATAAAAAATAATTGTATTATTTCGAAAATTAAGTGTAATACTAAAGAATTGACGTACCAATCTTATTAAAAATATTCAAGGAATAAAATAATATTTTTTTTTGATGTTGGAATTTTTAGGATTATTTTATATTAAAAAAGGAAATTGGTTAGAAAGGAATTGTCGCAAGCAAGTTGTCGTCTTTGTTTTCAATAAAGTCTCTCAATAAATTAGAATTTTGAGATTTTTGTCGTCGAGTTTTAATAATTTTTGTTTTTTTTTTTTAAATTAATTTTTAAAGTTTTTAATTGTTGATTTATTTCAGTAGTTTTTGTTTTCTTGTATCACTGATTTTTCAAACACACAACTTTTCTGACACTTGTTCTTTTTAGCGCAAATGTTTGTATAATTATGTATTATTATTTTTTATATTAAGTAGCACAATTATTTTAAATTATTTTTTTTATTAAAAAATACTTTTTTTTTTATATAATATGCTCAAGTACTTTGTTGTACATTATTAATTGCG